AAAAAAAAAACCATAAACTTTGTTCGAACATTTTTATTAATAATTTTAAAAAACTCAAAATAAGTAAATTATTTAAGTTACATTTTTAGTCTTAATTTGTTTAATTTATAAGTTCTTATACATTTAAATTAAAATAAATATATAATATAATTTTTAATTTTAAATTAAGCACTCACAGATAGGCATATAACTCAAGCTCAAGCTTGTCTCTTTATCGAGCTCAAGTTAATTTCTTTATCAAGCTTGACTTATTTACCAAATAAATCGAGTTTGATTCTAGTAGCTCACTATTTACTCTTGAGCTACTTACTCGCTAATAGGCCTGAGTGGATAAATGAAAACACAAAGTTAGGTAAAGGCCTGAATCCTGGTTCCACCACTTGGTATTCACCTTTAATTTGAAAGATTAGAGAACTGACCGGAATGGAAGGGGTGTGTTAAACGTTTCGCAGGTACAAAAGGTAAGTTGATTGGGTTATGCGAAGTGATTATATATGGTGCTTCTATGTAGGTTCTGAGATCAGTTTATGGTTGTACACCAGTACTTTATTGGTCCTCTCTGTTTTCTGACATACCATAAAAATAATCTGCCTCCTTGACAGTATTTTATTGGCCAAGCTGCCCGTGATCGATTGTAAGCACTAAAAGAAGCTGACAAAATGTCTTATCCAGTAGTCAGCTCACTTCTTGTCTGTGTCTTGTAGTGATTAAGAGGAGACCCATGATCATGTGATCATGGTTAGATGGACCAATAAAATGGTCCCAAATAGGCAGATTATTTTTGTGGTATATCAGAAAGTAGAAGGGGTACCCCATTCTTCCATCAATAGAGTACAACTAACTGATCTCAGAACCTACATAGATGCACAATATAATCACTTCGCATCCCCCAATCTGCTTGCCTTTTGCACCTGTGAAACGCTTAACACATCCATTCCCTTCAGGTCAGTCATACCGACCTTTCCTTCTTACCACCAGGCCAATAGGAAGAACGAAGTTGTAACTGTTGGAGAAGAACAGAAAATGGAGCAAGGATAAACTTAAAAAGTAAAAATAGATAACAAAGTGATTGAAGAGTGAAAAGATAACTTTCTAGATACTGCAATTCATTGATAAAAACATATAAATTTATAATGAAAATCTAAGTAGTGGGATAGTAGCATGATACCCATGAACTGAAATCATGGATTAAACTGACTCAACAAATAATCCTAAAAAATAGCAACTACCCTACTTTCTGAAGAAAAAAATCAGAAAGACTTATTCAAACTAAATAAACAAACTACATAAAGACAATATCCTCTTTTGCATAAGTTTTCAACATCCCCCCTGGATGCAAACTCTGCAACTCCAAGTGAGTTACAGAACTTCATGAATTTACTAAAACTGAGTCCTTTAGTAAATCCATCAGCAACTTGATCACTTGTTGAACAATGCTGCAAAGCAAATAATCCATCTGCAATAGCACCTTGGATAAAGTGATAACCCAGCTCAATATGTTTTGTTCTTCCATGAAACACTAGATTATTGGTCATTAAAACTGTTGCTTTGTTGTCATAGAAGATCTTTGTTGCCTTTATCTTACTGGATATTGCAATTCATTGATAAAAACATACAAATTTATAATGGAAATCTAAGTAGTGGGATTGTAGCATGATACTTACGTACTGAAATCATGGACTAAACTAACTCAACAAATAATCCTAAAAAATAGCAACTACCCCACTTTCTGAAGAAAAAAATTAGGAAGACTAATTCAAACTAAATAAACAAACTAGATAAAGATAATATCCACTTTTGCATCAGTTTTCAACAGTACCAAAAATCAAATAATTTAACCACAGAGGCAGGCCAAGTGAAGCAACAATTGAGTTGTTCACATCAAAAGCCGAAGGGCTTGGTTCCATAATGACTTTGTAGGGCTGTGTGCAACTAAGAAAGGGATGCATGATTTCGGACATGGCTTGCAAAATAATAGACTCTGCACGTGAGCCTGTACCCCATTTGAGGAAATGCATACTTTTTAAAAATGTTTTTTATAATAATGAGAGCATAATTAAACTTTTAT